GAGCAGGGAGCCCGATGTGGGACTCGATCCCAGGACCCTGGGATCATGACCTGAGCCGAAGGCAGACCTTAACGACTGAGCCACCCAGGCGCCTGAGGGAGAGAATCTTAAGCAGGCTCCATGCCTAGCACAGAGCCCAATGTGGGGCTTGATCTCATGATACTGAGATCACGATCTGAGCCAAAATCAAGAGTTGGGACGCTAACCAAATGAGCCACCCAGGTGCCCCTTAGTAGTTGCTTTTTGAGACCAAGACAATAGCAAGGACTAGAGAAACTACCCAAGGATTTTCTCACTTGGGTGTGGGTGGCAGTTCAGCTCTAGATTTAATCTAACATGTAGAATGTCTAGCTACTTAGGAAATAGCATGGGAATCCCTTAGAGCAGACTTCTTCAAAGAATATTGTGTTAGACCAGCATGGTCCTCAAAGATGGTCCTCAAAGCATGGGAAGTGGACCAGCATTGGTCTGGAAACATTAGTCATTGGTCTACAAGTAGATCATTGTAGAAATTGAAAGTATTTACAAACTTCTGTAGTAACTTGACATAGCATGGCATGCAAATATGTGATAATTTTTCTAGTAAATCATTGTACTGTATTTTACAAAAGTAATGGTCTGTGATAGATTGGACTTCCTCCACCCACCCCCAAATGGCCCTTCACCACAAATAGCTTAGGAACATCTGTTAAAAAATGCAGTTTCCTAGACCCCAGCATAAACCAGAGGAACCCAAATCTCTGGAAATGGGGACAAGTCCCAGGAATGGACATTTAGCAAGCTGCCCGGATCATTCTTTTTCGTGCCAAAGTTTGAGAACTGCTTTAGGAGGAAGGCCAATAACGCGGCTAATACATTTCTGAAGTATAAGGTTAACTTCTGAAAGCCATCCACTCTAAGGACCAGAGTCGCAAGGTGACAGCTCTTACACGTTTGACTTCAGCCCTCAGGGAGGAGGTTGTGTCCTTGGCTCACAACACAGCCCAGCTAACAGAGACCTGTGGTTTCTACGTACAGTTCCATTGCTAGCTTTTGAGATGCCTTTGTGCAAGACACCCTTGAAGCCTCTTCAACTGAAAGTTGTTTTTATTAATTGTATTAACGGAAAGCGTCTAAGTATGCGAGGGGTGTCTAGGATCCTTTGATGTGGTTCCTCCGCACATCACACCATGCCCCGGGGAGGGAGGGCTGCCTGCTGCAGGGCAATACCATACAGGACCTTGTTCCATAGCTCCTGCTTAGAAAACCCTGACGCCCTCCTCAGCTCCATAGACACGGGCCCTGTGACACTCATCGAGAAAGAACACACACATCAGAGGGGTTCTTGTTTGTTGCAAGTGTAAAGTAACCGGGATCAAAGGGGCAATTTTAATGCTCCCTGGGCACATGGCTTTCTCATTCACCATGTGAATCAGTAGATGATTTTATGAGGAGGAGGGAAAAAATATTTCTAGAGCAGTAATTGCTCATCAGAAGGAGAGAGACTTCTTTATCGCCTGTGCTGCATGTTTAGGTGTTGATACCCACTCTCCTCGGTGACTTCAGGAGTGAAGTGCTGGTCCTTGGCTCCCCCTGAATCGCTGTCACCTTCGGTCATCCCAAGGAAGGGGCCTCAACCCAGCAGTAGGTCAGCCAGTGAAGAGGAGGAGGAAATAGATTGTGGGAGGAAAAGGAAAGGAACAGACCAGTAACTTGAAGTTTTGACAGAGCTCTTGAGGACAGTTTTGCTTCTTAGAATTTGAACTGAAGCACCTCCTTCTCTCTGTTAGGAATGTGTTTTATTTTCAGCCCCAATACTGTGTCCTGGCTCTCAAGTCACACCTTTTAAGGCTTCTAAACAGGATGCCATTGTCACCTGTGGACCAGCACCCCTTCTCCTGCTTCTCTCCCTTCCCTTGTCTGCCAGGCAGCCTAGGAGGTTCAGGCTCACCTCCTTGAGCAACTCCTCTGGATCCCCAGGCAAAATTCAACCCCTTCCCTCTTCTCTCCCGGTGGCCCTTATGCATGACTTTCTCTGGTTGTGAGGATTTTCATGGTTGATTAATTAGAAATATGATTGTCCTCTGCAAATAGATGTTGCCATTTAACAGGATCTAACTGTTGTGACTATGTTTTTTCATAAGAAAGGATCCTTCTTTCATAAAAGGGATAAGCCGATATTTTTTTAAAGTTTAAAGGATATCAACAAAGATATTGGTGGTGCTGGGGAGAAAGAAAGCCATTTAGCCCTTCTAGATCAAGAACTAGATTTGCTCAGTGAGGATAAGGTTTGATGGGTCTCTATTTGAAACAGAAAGAAAGAAAGAAAGAAAGAAAGAAAGAAAGAAAGAAAGAAAGAAAGAAAGAAAGAAAGAAAGAAAGAAAGAAAGAAAGAAAAAGAAAGAAGAAAGAAAGAAGGAAGGAAGGAAAGAAAGTTAGTTAAAGCAACTTTAACACTGACAGTTCCAGGGAGATAAATAATTTTGATAATATGAATCTTAACATCTGCATCCCCAATCCCATCTCTTTCTTTACAAACAACTGTCTTATAATCAGTTATAATCAAGCAACTATTTTATAGTCAGTTTTTTCTAACCTGTTTCTTTGGAAACTACTCTCGCAAATGAGAACAGGACCTGCGTGTGGACTGTGACGCATGGTAGTCCAATTTGGGGAATTCAGACCTGTCACTCACTAGACTGCCGTCTTGTTCAGTTCAGTACCTCTGTCTCCTCCTCTCTCGCTGCCCCGCCCACGATAATCAACCGGACCTGTGAATGTGTGTCACATCTCCGTAGGCCCCCGCACCCCATGAACCGCAGACAGGCCACCTGCTGGAGGTTCCAACACTGCAAATGTATAAGTAACAGGAAACGAGTGCAGAGCAAGTGTGCATCCTGCAGTCACTCCCACCACCACGCTCCAAAACATCCTCGCTCCCGCTTGGAGTTGTTCAGCGGCTTCTAATTTTCTCCCCGCCGCAGGAATCCTCATCATGATGTCCCTGTGCAGCGAAGTGCACGTGTACGAATACATCCCATCGGTCCGGCAGACGGAGCTGTGCCACTACCACGAGCTGTACTACGACGCGGCGTGCACGCTTGGCGCCTACCACCCGCTGCTCTACGAGAAGCTGCTGGTGCAGCGGCTGAACACCGGCGCCCTGGGCGACCTGCACCGCAAGGGCAAGGTGGTCCTACCCGGGCTCCGGGCCGTGCGCTGCCCCGCGCCCAACCCCGCCGGGCCGGCCTCCTGAAGAGGGGCTCTTGAGAAGCGATGTGCAATAAGGTACTACTGTTGTGCTCTGAGTCACAGGAGAATACTTGAAGATCTCTTTTAGGCAATGTAGTCTTCAGCCTTTAGACTGTAACGTAGCGGTGGCCACGAGAATTCTTCTTTTTCTAAGCCATTGAGTATTTATTACTGCTTTGAATACAGAAATGGAATTTAAAAGGAAAAAATGCTCAAGAAAGATGCAAAAAAAAAATGCTAAAAAGGGGGGGGGGCAAACGAATGACAAATGAGTATTGTACCTCCAGAAATGTTAACCTTTTTTTATGCCGTGGGCATCCCTGATGAGGGTTGGTTTGGGCTACAGGTTTCCGTGATGTACCTGATGTTACGAAGTGGTTTATACACTCTTGTTGAGGTACAGTATCTGTAGCACCTACTGTGTTACTTGTACATTCATTCGTTATTAAAGATCCTAGCGTTTATGACAAGCATCTGAATTATCACTCAGATGTGTTTATTTTAACAGCAAAATCCCCCGTATATGTTGAGAGATGCGCATGTTTGCAAACTGTTGCATTCCCCCACTCTGTTTCCCATTGCCCACCAAAGCTTTGCTCTTTGTGTATCAGGACAGATTTCTAAAACCAGAAAGCATCCATCTCGAGCAGTCCAAGAAAAAGCCAACCCTGGGATAGCACTACAGAGGAGACACTTTGTTTTCCTGCAGTATTTTCTTGCTCTGGCAAGTAAATACAGAATCACCCAGCTGCAGGGTGGCCCGGGGCCAGAATGTTCCCAGCTCCAGATTTCCTGCATTGTACCTCCTCAGCTGCCAGTCCTCCCCACAGCCCTTACACTGTTACACCCACGGACACTTGTGACCCCCTCCCCCGGGGGGAGGGCTCTTTCCTTCCGATCTAGAAGGAGGGAACGCAGTCTAGAAGGAGGGAATGCGGAGCCTTCACTCTGTGCTTCTAGGGATGCACACCTGTCTCTCTTGAGATTTCTTTCAGGTCCATATCAGCTGCTGGAACCCCAGCAATGATGGACTGGATTTTCACTAATTCTCTCTGCAGACAGATATTGAGGAACCCTGTCCCTGTTTTCACAGATGTATTTTATGTCGGCCACATACAAGCCATATAATTAAATAAAATTGTGTGAAAACGTTGCTCTTTAACAACAAGGAAAATACCTATATGCTTAAAAGGCAAAGCCAGCTAGAAGGGAGGAAGTTATCACCCCAATACGTTGGCTATATTCAGATCTGTTTTGTTCTGTTTTTAATCTCAACTTTTATCACTAATGCATCGAAAAACAATTTTTTTGCTATGAATGTAGTGAAACAAACATTTTGGAATACATTAATTGAACATGCTCTCTCTCTATGTAACCAAAACACAACAGTACAGGTAAGGCTTTATAAATTAAATGTGTTCTCCCTTGCAAGTGCATGAATGTCAGGAGAGTTTAGTGGGAAAGTTTTTTTGTTCCAGGATTGGTTTTTTCCTGAGTGCTCTCAAAACTACTTTCTTGAGCAAGAATGGTTTACAGAAATTGACAGCTTCTGTTTGGTGAGTCTAACTCCCCAGAAATCGTGTTGGGTAATAGGCATCTCCTATGGCTTATTATAATAGTGAAGTAGAGGAGTAATAAAAAAGTTTCAATCATGACAGCATCCACTAGAAGCCCATTTTGAGAGCTTTCCAGATCTATGAGAAGAAATCAGTAATTTTGTCCTACACATTAGCTTATCTGTGAGCTGACATAGTCAAGCCACTTTTTTCTCTGGTTTCCTGAAAGACCTTAGTCTGGTTCCCACGTGTAGTGAGTAAGGAGTTCAGATGATGAGGTCAATCTGAGCACGGTGAGCGGTGCTTCCATGGCCTTGGTTGTCCCTGGACCTTCCAGCTCTGCCTTCAAATGTCCATGACACTGAAGTTCCTTTGACAGTCTTCCTGGGGGATTTCCTTCCGACCGTATTACCCAGGACATTTCCCTTTGGTGACATAAGAGCTTGGTGAGAGGAAAATTCATTGGGGGTCAATATAAATATTCAAGTTCAAAAGCCCCAGAAAACACTTCACATACTTCAGAGATTTTTAAATAGCATTTTGTTGTAACGCATGTACTTTTAAAAGGTCCTTTCAGTCTCACTGATGTTATAAGAAAGACTGAAGAGCATAAAGGAAATCTAATTAAAATTTTTGAATTTATTATGGCCTTAAAGACTCTTGGGAATCAGGGTCTGTTAAACATTCAGAAAATGTGGTACACATATTAATAGAGCGTGGCTGGGCATTCTTCTATTTGAAAGTTTAAATTGTTTAGCCTCCCAAAAATATCAGGCTATTGTAGTTAACATGATGACTGCATCTAGTATTAGCTAAATTGGTCCTAAGTGGCAGTATTTTGCCAGACATTGATTAAGTCCTTCTAGGCAACATTTACTGAACTGCTGTAAACACACAGCTCTTCCGTGGAATAGTGGACAATAAATGCTATCCTAGTACATTTCTCCCAGGCTCTGTCCCTCCCAAAACGCTCCATCCCCTTCTGGAGGGGACGCTGATACAGTTTTTAAGGTGCAACCTGAAGCCATTAGGTGTCTCAAGATAATTTCACTCCATCTTTTGTGGTGGTTGCTGTTATCACAAAGAAACAAATGTTGACCAAGAATGACAACTCACTTTTATCTAGGTTCTTGCTAACTAGTTCCCCAGTCCCTCTACCAGCTATGAGGGTGGGTTTAACAGGTGTCTGATGCTCACTGTCCACAGGGAATACCCGTGCTGGCCCCGTGTACCTGACCTTCCCCACTAAGTCCTTACAGGGCTGCTTTTATCCAGAACTGTGTGCATAGGCCAAGAGACGATCAATTAAAATTTGCATATATGCATCATGCAACATCAAGGGCATGTATTAAGCCACGTGAGGGACTTTGGTGTATGTTTCAATTACTGGGTCTTTCCTTTCTGCCTGGACGCAGAGTTCTGGGAGCCCTGCTTCAGTCACAGCCCTTCGCGTGTCTCGTGCCCTCGTTCTCTAAGCCAGACATTTAATCAATCCTGAACTCACCAGTAATCATCTGTCATTGTAGCTGTATCATCTGGACAAAGCGATGCTGAAAAAATCGTTAGTATTTTCAAAATTGGGAAATAAAAGTAACTGTTTAAAGCTACCACGGGGTTGCTCCATTACATGTTTATGAGCCAGTTCATTCTGGTGGAACAGATTAATACCTTATGTGGTTGGCTGACCCTTCCAGGCAGGAGCACTTACAACCAGCGAATTAATTAGGTCCTGTTTGGCTGCATTAAGTGGGATCAGTCTCATGTGAGTAATGGCATATGATGGAAGCATTTTCTATGCACAAATGACATGATGAAAGTTCTCTCTCCAGCCTCTCTTAGAGATCAACACACAGTGCGTGTTTGAGGCTGGTAGGCAAAGTGGCCTGGTCCCATTTCTGCTTAGCTATGTGAAGAGACAGAGAAAGGGAGGAGGAAATTATCGAGAAATCCATGACAGGCCAGATAGTCTCTATATTCTGTCATGTTGTCTGATTCGACTTCCCACTTTCTGATAGCTTGGAGCTCTTACTCAGTTATTACAGCCAATGAAGGCAGCTGCATTTAGAGATCAATTGCTTAGGTAAAATGTGCCTGAGTTCAAACTCTTTTTTTTGTACTCTGGACATTTCCATTGTGAAAATATCCTGCATGTCCTTGTCACTTGGGCATTATTTACACAATTGGTAAATGAAAGGTATCTCTCTGTGAATTCAAGGATAAAATACAAGTTCTGATTCTTGTTTTATTAAATGAATGAAGCCTTTTAGTAAGTAATAATAGTCCAGCATAGTCCTCTACAAGCTTGGAATGATAGAATTTAAAGAATTAAAGACACTGCTCTAGTTCTTTCTTTTGTTATGAAAGTGTGCATGTAGATATAGTTATATAATTGTATATATACGTATCTACACACATGGTTGGTTTTATATTGTCTTTTTTCATCAAACTTTATTCCTGAAGACTTTACAGTAAATTTTATTTTAATTATGCAAATGCCAATTTTTTAATAGAAGAAAGCAAATATTAGATGTCCTATTAAAAAAAATTCCGTCTTCCCACACACTGGTATTCTACACACCCTGGGTGTGTATAAAATATGGCAGAAATATTTAAAAGGCAGTGAGCAGGTAGAATGACTACCTGAACATCATAGCTTCATTGGAAGCCTAATGGAACACTGAACATTGACGAAAAGGTTATTTATTATAGCTCATGGCTTTTACGAGGTTAGGGGGAAAAACTGAATATTGGTTCTGTGGAGAACAGTCTTCTTACCAGGTAGGTTTCAAACAAATTAACTGCACTGGTAATGCTAAAAACCTAACGTATTTGATACCACACATCTTGTTTTATGCTAGCTAAAATACTTACGAAATTTTTCCGGTGGGAACCAGTGAACTTTTTTTAACAGCTTTGGGAATTTTTTTGTATGGTAATTTTTAAACTGCAGTGTGTACTCTTCAAATTAATTAAGGCCTGAGGTTTTTCCAGGGGTTACATTTTAAAAAGTGTTTGTATACATTTTAACACCTTTGATATTTTCTATTTTGGTTTTGTATATTTTTATGTATACACAGTGTACAGACTTTTTTCTTGTAAATAAAACATGTTTTCATTTGTCTAGAAGTTTCTCTGTTTTCATTTGTAAAAGTTGCAGATACAAATGAGCGAGTGGCAGGAAAACGATCCATCCTAGGAGAACATGGCACAAAGCCGAAAGCTAATTAGGAAATTGTAAATGAAGTAGCAGCAGCAGGCCCTCGAACTGTGAGTATGGACACGGCCTGGGCCTGAGACCAGAGGCAGCCTCAGTCTTCTTCACCCAAGGACTCATTGCCAAAGATCAAGATCCACAGTGGCAAAAACAAGCAGGAAAAGCATATTTAGGCTACCATATCCCTATGTTGAGTTAGTAGCCCAGCATTTCGGTTAATTTATTGCCTTGGGAGACTCATCCCCAGCTTGACAGGGCTTCAGGTCTTAGAAAACACCCATAAGTTACTAGAGGAAGGACTAGGGACTCTGAAATCGCCTTACCCTGCTACAGTGTCAGATCAGCCCTGGGATCCTCATGCTTGCGTGTGAAGGGAAAATTGGTTCATTAGGTTCCTCGAAAGAAGTTCCCAGTCATTCGTGCCTTCTGGGTACAGTGCAAAGGAAGCCTTGAAAGGAGGCGCTGGGGTGTTTGAGGTGAGGACTGCTGTGAGCAGCTGGGGATTTCGGGAGACATAAATCACGCCGGGCAGCTGGGCTGCATCCGAGAGTCCTCCCACCACCTTTGGGTTCCTGTCCTTTTTCTTTCCCCACAAGATGACTGCCTGCTTCCAGATGATTAAAACGCAGGCCTGGCTCCGCGGGCCCTGATTAGAAGGCTGTTCCCCCCCCCACTGAGAGAGCAGCAGGGGAAGAGATGCCTC